CCTGATCATTTGAATAAAAGCTAAATCTGACCATATTTTAGAATCTCCCAGCAAACAGGCAGACAGAAAAACACAATAATCTATGAGTATTAATTTCAAGCTTTCTGTAATATCCTTTAAAAATGAAAAGTTGTCTTAGAGTGATTGCTTTTCCCCCCTCCTCTAACTTCTATATGTACTAAAAATGAGGAAGAAATGCTTTTCATAGAAAATATGGCCCCATGATATTTCTGTCTTCTACTATTTCTGTATAAATTTTCATGTGGATAATATTTCCTATTAAAAATATCTAGTGCTATGAACAAATTTCAGCCCTTTTTAACCCTCTAGAATTAATGAAACAACTGAGAGCCTTATTGTTTCTAGAAAATAAATATTAATATAGTAGCTTTCCTTATCTTGATGGAGCATGTATGAGCTCTATCTTCCCTAAGCCCACTGTGGGTTTAGCCATTCATTCCCAAATGACCCCTGGACATTAAATAGTGAAGAAAAATCATGTGCAGTTTTACAAATAAATCCGCTGAAAGCTCATATACTGTGTTTTCCTAACTCAGACTCCACAGAGATGCTACCCAGGAGAGAAAGAAAGAAGGTCTATATTCCTCATTACTCATCCAGTACAATTCGCCAGCCACCCTGAATAAGGATGTGGGTGAGTTTGCACTTTTGCTCCATTATAAAGACCCCTTATATTCAAAATACTTCCTCCTCTATCAAATGCATGGGACAAAGTTCTAGATAATGCACAGAAATAACCACTATTTAATTTATATAATATTTGCTCTCTCACATTCTCACAAATCTAAATGTCTATGCTATTCTACATAGTCAAGACAAAAGTAATGACTAACTCATGGGTACTAAATCATGGAGGTTATGGGACAGCAAATATGCTATTCCCAAAAGACTTAACCATCTTTTAAAAAAAAGATTCAAGGTTTTCCCTCCAAAAACCAACAGTCCAATTCATTTCTGTGCATTTAAATTTGCCTCTTATGATAGATTCCTGTGAGACTGTGAAAAATGAATTGTCATATGGGAAGATGTTTCATTCTCACTTCTGCCCTCCCAGTGAGGAAAGTGGCTGTTTGGGTTCTTCTCTGTCCATTTTTCCAGAGCATAAAGCTTGAGAAGAGAAGGTGGCGGTTGCATTGGAGGGCATCTTGCTCTTTGCATCTGCCGTGAGAAATACTGGAGAAAATAGTTAATGGATGTAAGACTTCATCAGCTTTCCTAATCCTTTTCTGTTTTAAGAAAGACAAGCTCTTAAATGATCAAAATTATAGGCTAAGACCAAATAACATTTAGACAAAGAGCACCTAGTACTTCCAATTGAAAGCAATTTACAGGATTTAATCTTATGAGTTTGTAAATGGTATCTAAAGATAAGAATATTGAAAACCTGGAATGTTCTAAGTTACTATCAATAAAATTCTTAGCACTGGCAGTGTGTAGCACTTTAAAAAAAATCAAAGTATTTTATAGATGTCCCAACCAAGGTTATTTCCCAACATTCCTGTGAGATTAATGTCCTCCCTTCTTCCACTCCCCCAACTCCCATTTTACCAATGGGACATTCGGGGCAGGAAAAAACACTTTCTGTAAGAAAAGATGAATCGGGAATAGCTGAGGTTGAAACTCAAGAATTCCTAGTCCCACCCTATATTCAGATGTTTTCATTTAAAGATGTTTTGAAATGAAGAAAAAAATGCTTCAATATCAGTAAACCTAAATGCAATGAACTTCTTTATCTCCCATCCTCCCCTCTGAAAGGCACTACTATTTATAAAGGCTTTGTGAACCACAAAGCAGTGAAGCCAGCTTTCTCCTCCGCTTCCTCTACTCCCCCTAAGATTGTTTATGGCTGAGACAGACCTAAAGGACACCTTCAACAATTTCTTTTCTTAAAAATTTTACCACATTCAGCTGTAAGTTGATATAAATCTATTTAATTTGAAACAAATGTAAAAGGTACAGGAAGTCATTATACTTCATAAAAGTTATTACGGGTTATCCCTGATCTTTTCTTTCTTTCTGCATCCCACCCTCACAAATCAAAACAAAACAAACCCAAACCCTATGCAATGAATATAAGCCAAGCAAGAAACTTGTGGCTTTGACCATTATTTGTTTTTTCCATTTAACTGGAAGTGCACTCCCACTAAGAACTACCAAAATTATAGTAAAGTGGACTATTTTCTCTTCTTTCCCCTCTTCTCTACTACCAAGTTACAAATCTCTCTGCCAAAATAGGGACAGTGGTTCCTGATCCTTCTTCCCTCACACAGTTGCCCATAGAGCAACCTGAATTAAGTACATTTCCCAGCCCCATCTTCTGGGATTTTTTGTTAGTTCCAACTTGCCATGGAGAATTCTTGAACCAAGACCAGTATCTCATCCCTGTTGGGAGGGACCAGGAGCTTTGCAGACAGGGAGCCTCCCTATTAGTTTTCTTCAGTTATCAAACTATATAAAATATACTCCCTTCTTCTTAGGGCCTCTATTAAGTTCCTTCTATTCTAATGATTGTACTTTGGCTCCAGTTAACAAAATTATACTACTTTTCTATGTCCCTCCTCTCCTGTCCTCTCACTTCCCCAACATGTGTACTTGGGGGGATTTCATGCAGCCCCCATCTGGGTCATCCCAGCTCGGATGTAAAAGCCAACACAAAAGCTTGAGCTCCAACATTCTGTCACTGCCCTCCCCACAACATGGTATCAGTAATGCTCTCCTGCCATAGCCGGTGTCCTAGGCCCTGTCCCTCTAGATCAGAAACTCCGCTTGTTATAAAAATTCAAAATGACTGTGCAGGGGGCTCTCGATGCAAGTCACGGGCAGTGGCTAGAATAGCACTTGCCACTTCACCCCTTATGGATACTGGGAATCCTTGGCGCCTGCAGCCTATCCCATGACAAACCCTATGGACCAGGCTTTCCTCTTTCCTGCTATATACCATAATGAAGAAATGCTTACTAAAAGGGTTTTTAGTAAATATGTTTAAAATCTTAAAATATTGTATCACATAGCATTTGTACATACATAAAGATTCAAATGAAGACTACGGAGGATGAGTCGAGAGAGAGCTCTGAGGGAGTGAGGCTTGATGACCCAGGGCCATTCAGAAACTAGGAAACAAATACAGTCGGAGTCGGTTTCTACATATTTGGTTAATTCCGAAAATACTAAGTGCTATCTAGTCTTATTGCTTATACTTTCTACTAATTTATTAATCTATAATCTCGGATGGGATGAGGTGGAGGGCGGATGAGGAAGCCGACTTTGAAACCAATGGAAAAGAATGACGAGTATTTTTCATTTTACATTTCCACTGTGAGAATAAATGTTTTTATGTATTAAAGTTCAGGCTTAGTTTCCACCATTTCTTTTTCATTTAAATAGGTTTGCAGTTCTATTTAGTCTTCTGCTAAATTCTCTGCTTGCACATCTGTGTGGCATGATTTTAATTTTCTCAATCCCATCGTAGGAGAGAAGCAATGCCATTAAACCTGATTTGAACAAACACTTGAATTACATTTTTAAAATATTATTTGCATAATAGCAATTTTCAAAACACATTCTGGAAAACAAAAGATGGATCATGTACAAACACAAAAAACAAAAAATTCCCCCCAAAACAAACAAAAAGAAAAACCATGAAATGCCCAGGTTTAATTTTTTTTTCCACCAGAGGGAAAAAGGGCAGTTAATAATAATCTTGTATGGAGAATATCCACCAGAAAGCAGCATTGGCCTCAAAGTACAATTAGTCCTTTTAGTCCAGAGAAATATCGGCGGCTGAGTGGTGGTGGGTATTGCGATCTCAGTTAAAATGCGATGCTCTGTTAGAGTAGTGTATCAGGTTTTGCTCCATGGCTTTAAAAAGGACTTAGGACCAGACCTTTGAAAGGCCTATATGGCTGCCTCCTTTTGGTAAGCACCCCTTAGCTTCAATAAGGAGTTAGAAATAAAGCAAGCCAACTTTCTGAAGACTGTATTCTACAGCTGTAGAAGAAATCAGAAAGTGATGGTACCTTGTTGATAGCAACTGTAGTTTTGTATTTGCCCTTTTGTATGAACCTGTTATATTTGTTTACCTATTTCCAGCCAGGTGTAGACACAAAAATAGCCCCACAACTCTTACTGTATTTGAACTTATTTCCTGGCAGGCTTTCTTGCCAGATTAACCCTGAACCGCCAGTGAGTTCGGGAGTAGTGTTTCATATACAGAACCTATCTTAATCAAATAACCTGTGACTGACAGAAAAAAATCTTCTCAGTCACAGATTGCAAAAGGGTAACATTGCTTTCTCTTAATGCACAGGTTCTGGTAAAAGATTCTATACAAGATTTATAAAATGCTCTAAAAAACTTGTCATCTAATTGTGCTTAGTCAAAACAATGTAATGTTTCGGTAAATAAACTACTGTCTTAACTGGAGCACTCAAAGTTACTTATGATTGATTTAATATATATCTCTGTATTATAAAACTCTGAAATCTGCATGGAATATATTATACTGTATGTGTATATGTAGCCTGTTAAGAAACTATAAGTCATCTAAACCAGAATAGTTGACATACATGACATCTCTGGTAAATAGAACTTTTTGTTTAAAATTTCAGCAAAGGTGGGAAACCTTTTATACTCGCTACAGCGAGCTAAAGGTTTACCCAGTTAACCACTCATTTTGGAACATACAATTAAAATTTTACAACAGCTAATATTCTTGTTATCCTTGCCCTTCTATTCAATACTTTCTGTGACTCTTTGCATCTTTATTTCTTCGGAATGACCTTCTGGAAAGCCCCTTAATTTAGGGTGACCTTTACTGCTGCTCAGACCCTGAATAACCACTGAAGAGGTTTAAGAGGTACATCTCTCAATCCAGAGAACCACGTGGAGTGAAATAATGAACACAATTATTTACAGACACATTCAGTCTTGCTTTGGTTCACACTGTACTTGTATGTGAAACCTCAGGGGCTGGGAGATGGCTACGTCCCTTGGTTCACCCGGTTGACAATGTAGCTCTTGACATTGGGAATAGGCCGCACATCATTCTGGTGCTTGCGGCGTTCTATGAAGCACGCCAGGCGGGAGGTGTCCAGGGGGATCTTGGAGTAGCTGCCATTGTGGGGCTGCAGCCATGGATGCTGTAGGCAAGTGGCCGCCGTAGGCCGCCTCCGAAAGTCTTCCTGTAAGATCACATTGATGAAATCTCTGGCGGCATTGCTCACGCCACAGAAGTATTCATGGGGAAAGCTGAAATCCACCCTGCATACATTGATACATGTCTCCTCTTTGCTCTCATCCAGGAAGGGGGAGACCCCACTCAGCATGACATACGTCAGGACCCCAATGCTCCAGATGTCTGTGCCCAGGGACACAGGGATGCCTTGGATCACTTCTGGGGCAGCAAACTCGGGGTTCCCCAGTAGGTGGTGGATGTGGAAGTGGCCTGAGATCTGGACGGCATCCTCCAAGTCGATGAGCTTCACTCGGGGCACTGGAATCCGTAGGTCAATGAGCAGGTTTTCAGGCTGCAGAGATCCAAGGAGGCAAGGAGAAGAGAAGTTGAATTTTCTGTTTTGACTAGTAGTAGGACTCTGTTAATTCAAACATGGTTCTGCTATAGCCTACAGCATTTGGAAAATTCCCTATGCAAAGTGCTTGGGAGGCCTCAAACTATCAGTCTGAACTCACTACCCTCTGAGTTTGGGTGGTACTTCAGAGAAGTTGTTTGATATTGAAAACCATGTCTTCTTAACTACGCTTTGCTTCTGCATTGAATCCAGAAACGAATAAATTACTCATTTTGGAGAACAAGGGCTCCCTTTTGAGCAGCATGAAAGAGAAGGTAACATTTATTGGCTTCCTTCTATAAAGTTAGATTAGGTAGGTAAAGCTTCCTTACCTTCTCTCACACCAGATGTCATTTTGACTCTGGTATGTTCTCCTTAATTCATGAATAATGAACTTAAATTGTGTGACAACCTAGTTTCTGTTTAATAGTCATGAGAATTCTAATCTAAGTAAATAAGATGAATTCAAATTTACATTCCTCAGAGGTAATGACCAGTAAGTTGGACTTAGCTGTTTCTCTGCAGGGGTTGCTATTCTTTATTACCTTTATGTCCAAATGTGCAACCCTGCAGTTGTGAAGGTACTGCAGAGCTTCCATGATGTCTCGGATGTAGAAAGCTACTTTTTCCTCCATCAGTTCATCGTGATTCATAAGGTAGTCTAAGAGCCGGCCATCATCCATCCTGAAAGTAGGGAGGAAAAGGCAAAGGAACTACGTTTGTGAAGAAAGAGAATAGCACATGTACAAGTCAGTAAGATCTCTAAGATCTCGCTTACTCTGTTTTATAAATGAAGATCAATGTCGCAACACATGTTTATTTTAGAGCCCAAAGTTAGTGTAATGCACAGAACTAAAATATTTACAGATGCGGTGTGCTTCAGAGAAGAAATCTGTATAACCTTGTTTAAGAAACATTCTGTTTTGTTAACTTTTGAAATTGCTCACAAGGAGAAAGGTCTGACACCCCCTTAAGAGGTTAGATTGATAAGAAACCCTTCACCGAGAGAGACTTTAGCAATCTGTGATTAACCATAACCTAGTGGCTGCGAGCAGCCCCACGTGTGTTTTCCAAAATAGTTTTATTTGTCAGTTTTTAGGTGGGGAAAACAAAAAGTAGGCAGAGTTTGTCCTTGACATTGTTGATCCTTTTTTGAATCCTTTGCCTTCTGGGCAAGTTTTCCAACCTTAAAGACTGTGATTGAGAACATGGTACTACATGGAGACAGCCAAACCCAGATTTGAAAGATATTTGAACTCTGCGTTTAGTTTTCCTTGAAGTGCACCATCTTTAAAGTGGAAACAACAACAACAAAATTATAATAATAATACCTACTTCATTATGAGGATTTTGTAAGGATCAAGAGAGACAATGAGGCCTTTAAGCATAATTGATAGCATAAGTAAGTACTAAATAAATGGTATCAGTTTTCAGGCACCCTCGTACCCTCTTACAACAAGGAGTTACCAAATGTCAGGCAGTTTTTCTTTAATGGGCATTGGGCTGTTAAAGGCACATCCCCAGGAAATGCCCACGCAGGGGAGCTTGATCCAGAGTCAGAAACTATTTTCCATCACAGTTGAAATCCCCCTGGGCAAGTTTCCTTTTTCTCCTCTTGCTTGTTCCTTCCCCCTGGTCTCTCCTGCTTTCCTTGACAGGAGCAAAGGCCAGGACTGATGCAGGCCCCTCTTCCTTCCTCTGACCCTGCTGGGCATGGGGTAGGAGTGGTCAGAGTGGAGTGGAGGAGGATTGGGCTTGTTAAATGTGTTCCCCCGAACTTCTTGGAGTGATGAAGGGAGAAATTATTAAATAATAGTAACACTGCTCCAAGACCAGAAGATTGGCCACCAAGTTCAAGCTTAGAGCTTTTGGATAATGCAGATGCCCACATCCCACCTCAGGCAGGGAATCGGAATCTCAGTTGCCTGGTAGAGAAAAGTTCTACCAGCAACCCTAGTGACCGCCAAAGAGGAGGCCCACACTCATGCATAAAACATGCAGCACGCGGTTTAGCTCGAGCACTGCCTCTCCACAGATCTTTCCTGAACTTCAAGTCCAACCTTTTAAAGTTCTCACAGCACCACTCGCCAGTTCACGCGTTTATTTCTTAGTATTTACCATACGATATTGAAATCATCCATTTACCTACTGGTCTTCCTCATTATAACTCCTCAAGGGCAAGAACTGTATCTTTTCACTGTTGTTCCCCCCACCCTGGCCCCAGTCTGCACGGGGCAGGGGTGCACCGTGAGTGCTCAGTAAATGTTTGCTGAACTCGTTCAACCCAATATTCATCAATCCACAACTCTAAGAAGTTGGAGAAATTCTTCAGTCTTCACAGATGAGGACCCTGGGGCCCGGAAACTTAGTATTTCACTTCAAATCACAGAGCTGGGATGTGAGCCCAGATTCTTCTTTCCAAGAACAGCTTCTTTCCATCGCATCGTGGCAGACTGATACTCAATACCTCCCCTCGGAATAGCAGTCAGCGAGTCTGAAGGGGCAAAGGTTCTGGTCTGCTGGACCGTCTTGGTACGCAGTCACAATAGCTTTTATTGGAGCCCAAGCACAGATGTTGTCTGTTGTAGACAAGGAGAGTTCACCAGCAACAGACTGTGCCTTTTGAGTTAGGAAGCTCCCGATAAACAGGTTAGGCTCTGAAAGACTGTAAGTCTGTTAAGTCCAAAGTAACAAACTACCCACTACCACACAGCTATGTAAAGTTAAGTTACATGTGAATGGTGCTGGTTTTATCCCCTTTTTTTTTCTTTCAACCTATTTAGAAATGTAGCCAAAGTGGTTTGCATTTTAGCTTTCTTTTTTCATCATAAATAGATTTATGCTGAGTTACTTCTTCAAAGACCCCCTACACACACACCTAGGCTAACACGCACACGAGAGGAAGACTAAAACGACAGTTGAAAGGCTGATCATGCAGATGCTTCTCTACTGGATATTGGTTCACGGGGAGCCATACACAGCATTGGCCTTTGGTGGAAACGTCTGTCTGCTGTCTAGGCCTAGGGCCTCATTATCACCAATCTGATAACATATTTCTATGTTTTTTCTATTGCTTCTGAAAAGGCTGTTTTCTTTAGCCTCTGTAAGATTTCTCTAACCCACAGAGCGTGCTGTTTATTCTTAGCCTGGGGTGGTGGTGGGGAGAATGACCATATTGCTCTATTTGATCTATTCTAGGGGCCAAATATATGGTTGCCTAAGGCTCTAGAAAACCTGGAATGAGTGGAATGTTTTGAAGGTCAGATTCTCTCCCCTACAAGGAATTTCTTGGGTGGTAGATGGGGATGCTATGGCAGTAGATTACTGTGCAGACTCCTCTCTTTCATCTCAACTCCACTCTGTCAGTCAGCCTACGGTCCATAAGCTCTTCCCAAATGCCTGCCCAGCCCAAGTCCATAAGGGAAAGAAAATGAAAATTGGAGTGAGAGAGATACGGGTTCAAGTCCCAGCCTCTCCACTTCCTAGATTTAAGGAGCTAGTTTTAAGGACCTTCCTTATCCTTGATTTTCTATTCTATAAAATGGGAATAACATTTATTATAAAATGGGGGAGAGGGTGCCTGTTACATACAGCACTTTGTAAACTATAGGACATTGTATAAAAGTTAACTGCCCTTTGCCTTAATTGTGGGCGAGAGATAACCCTAATGGATGGGGACCCCATCAGAAGGACGACACCTGTACTTACAGTTCCAAAATCAGGATGTAGGATGTGGGGGACTCATAGGTGTCGTGGAGAGTGATGTACTGGGGGTGCTGTAGGTGCTGGAGTAGGGCGGCCTCGTGGGCAGCCTGCTCTTTCTTCTTCATTTTTTTGCTAACGAATTTCACAGCCACGTCTTTGCGGGTAGCTTTGTGGATGCATTTCTTTACTATTGAGAAACGGCCTCTGCAAAAACAAAAGGGAGAAAGAGTTTTCCAACATTTATCAATCAACTAAGTATCATTTTACCCATGGATGTGTGAAGTTTTGTGTGAAGCAGTCAGACAGTAGCATTTTATTAGGAATCCTACTCTCCTATATTTTAAATTATAATGTTATCATTCAAAAAAACCCATTTTTCATTCTTTAGCATTTTAGGGTTCTTTGAGTTACAAAAAGCTAACGAATATGATTTTTAGCCAATATATTTCTCTGTCATTTTGAACATCAATCACAGGTTGTTTTCTTTTCTAAGCAGAATATATATTTGTATAAAATACAACAATAAAGACAACAACATTAAAGAAGAAGTTCTACTCAATGGTAATTTAAAAAACATTTTAAAGACTCAATTTTTTCATTTTATGTTTATTATCTGTTTATTATGGAAAATTTCTAATATACACAAAAATAAAGAGAATAGCAGAATAGATCTCCCATGCAACTGGCTTTACTAATCATCAGCATTTTATCAATCTTGTTTTATCTATTCCTTTTCTACCTCCTGGTTTCACTTCTGGAGTATTTTAAGCAAAATCCAGATATCATGTCATTTCATTCATAACACTTCAGTTTACATCCCTAACTGGCAAAGACACTTAGAAATATATAACCACCCACAAAATTACCCACCCCTGAAATAGAATGGTTCCCAGATGCAACCCTGTGGAAAGTATTATAGTAAGAGAGCTAAGTAGAAGTGGCCCAGGTCAGCAATGGAAGCAGACAATGGGAGGGTCAAAGAGGTGACAAGGCAATGCCATCCAAGCCCTGTGCATGAGGTGCCCTAGCCCATGAGCAGGGGAATGAACAGTCTGGAGACAAGCCCATTCCTCCAACAGAAATGGGTGCATCATGGCCACCACTGCAATCATCCAACTGACTCCTTGACCTGGCTCTGTGCTCACCAACCAATTTTCTAATAATACTTTTTTTTTTTTTTAAGACAGAGTCTTGCTCTGTTGCCCTGGCTAGAGTGCAGTAATATCATCATAGCTCACTGCAGCTTCAAACTCCTGGGCTCAAGCGATCCTCCTGGCTCAGCCTCCTGAGTAGATGGGACTACAGGTGCGTGCCACTGCATCTATTGTAGTTTAAGACGTCTAGGAGGGAGTGAAAATAGATACCTGTGTTATCTGCCAATAGATGGCAGATACCTGCCACACTTTTAACTGGATGCTCAACACTGCTACCTTTTTGGATTCTGTGCAGGCAACCAGTCAGCGTTCCCAGTGACAATAAGCCCCTGGCTTCTTTAAACGGTGCTGGCGCCTATACAGTTTATTTCTGGTTAAATATGCCATGCTCAAGTGCCCTTTCCTTTTATAGATGTGCTGTAGAAGTGAAGATATTCCTTCTTGCACCATGGTTTTTATAATATTTAATTACTGGAGAGCTCTTTTTAACAGGATAGTCATGTACGCCCAGGATTCTAGGTTTAGGCATGCTGGAGAAAGCTTTTTTTTTCCCTTCCCAATCACCTTTCTTTTTTTTGCAACTCAGACACTGACTTTTGCTGCATGTCAAGTGCACTTCCTCGTGCTTCCACCACCTGTCAATCATTCTGAGTCTTTAATTAGGACTCTTCCAAGGACACTCTGACATCCCAGAGAGTGATGCTTCCACACGGCTTCTCGCCCTCTTTCCCAGATCATGTCAGCAGACACGGTCAAGAGAGGAGCTTCCTACTTCTTGGGGAAACATTTTACAGGGCAGATTTTTAAAGTGTGGGTGGGGAGATGGAGTGTGCTTTGGAAATGCTGAGTCTTGAGAAGCAACAGAAACTCGCCGTGCCTGACAAAATGGCTTCCACACCCCTTGCAGCCAGCACACTGACGTTCAGCTGCTGTCGTTTGGCCAGAAAGTTATACTGCCCCCTGAAAAGCATATACTCATCAAAAACAGAGCCGGACACTGCCGAAAGGGCTTCCAGGCACCAGCTGTGTCCACAGCTGTTCATGCTGGAGAAAGCTGACTCACTTCTATGGCCCTGGCACAGAAATCTTTCATGTGTCTCATGTAAGAATCTCCATGTTTTATTTCTATTATGCTAATGTACAACATTTTGAAAGACCTTCCGAAAATACGAGAACTATTCTTAGAAGACAAAGAAGCTTCAGGCTGTTGGAGATGAGGTTTGCTTTTTTTTTTTTAAGAAAACAACTATTGATTACTTTGAACTGATCAGAAAATTGATCTCCCCTTTGAGAAACAGCAAAACATGCTATGGTTAACAACAGCAAATGCGTGTTTCAGGGAGGAACTAACTGGGGCATCTAGGTGACAGAACCAGCTTCATTTAGAACCACCTGGGGATTTGGTTTGCTCATTTTGGGGGTCATATCTGGCTTCGCAAACTTCAATATAACAGAGCAAACTAGATTTCAATTACTAGAACTTACTTTTGACACTAATTGTTATGATGAGAAATGACATATACTAGTAAAACAAACATGGGCTTAGACTTGGGTAGCCTGGAATTTGAATCCTGGCTGTACACTTACTAGTTGTGGGGCCTTGAGGAAATTACTGAACTTCCCTGAGCCCAAGTTGCCTTTACTGAAAATATACTCCAACGCTACCTCACAGTGTTACAAGGACTAGATTAAATACTGTTTGTATAGTACATGCATAGTACATGGAACACTATAGGTGCTCAGAGATAAGCAGCATCGTGTACATTTCCTTTGGTCTTTTTTTTCCTGTTTGGCTACACAAAGAAGACAGGAAAGTAGAGCTAAAGTTTGTTTTTGATGAAAGTTGCTGTAATGAAAGGCAGTGAATTACATTGTAACTCCTGCCTAAGAAACAGAAATAACGAACATTTTGGCTTCCTCCCACAATCTCTGTTACAACCACCACACTTAGGAGATTTTATGTTTCATTTAGAGATGCCAGTCAGAGATCCAGATGATGCCAATGGCCCCTTGTTAGCTCTTTCATTTCTCCATCCAGGCTGGATGGGCAGCTTATAAGGTCAACGCATATTTCTCACCTAGACCATCCAGAGACCAATGCATGCACAGGGATGAACCCCTTTTGTTTCTCTCCCATCAATTATTTTTGTGGGCCAGGTGATAGATTTCTTTTTTATTTTTCTGTTGAAAGTCATATTTTTATTCTGTTTATTCTTGAGGACACACTAAACGTTCTCTAACCAAAAGAGACAGGTAGGCAGAGAGAGAGAGAGAGATATGTATGTATGTATGTATGTTGAGAGGGTTAGATTAGAAATACCCACAAAACAATTAATGTGCTTGTCACATGGACATATGTAGAGGGGTATACCCAACAATTAATGACTATACATTCTTCTCAAGAATACGTGGAACTTTTTACAAAAATTGACCACGGACTACTCATAGAGGAAGTCCCAACAAAAATCAGGGAAATCAATATCATATAGACTAAGTTCTCTGACCACAGTGCAAATTAAGGTAGAAATCAGTAACAAAGAGTTACTTTTAAGAATCTCATACATTAAAAAATCTCATACATCTTAAAATATTTTTCCATTATAACTGGGTCATTGAAGAAAAAATACATAGAACTCAATAATAATGAAAATACCACATATCAAGACTTGGGAAATATGGCTAAAATTGTACTGTGAAGAAAATTTCGATCCTTAAATTCTTATATTAGAAAAGAATAAAGGCTGAGAGTTGATGAATGAAGCACCCAACTTAAGAAGTTAGAAAAAGAAGTAGGAAATACACGTAAATATTCTCATCATTTTCATACTATAGAGAGAATGCATCTATAAAAGAAACAACTACAAAAACGACTCATTGCTCTGTTGTGATGTTGCTACATACTTATGAATGAAGGCAAAGAACACTGTGTCATTACCTTCCAATTTCATTCAGCTCAGTATAAGCCGAATCAAAATTTTCCTTCCAAGAAATGGTGGCACCATCAGCAGCAGCATCTTTGGAAGAGAGAGAATCATTGATGATATTAAAGATGTCATGGAAGAATAAAGAAAAAGTTAACAGAAAAGTTCCAGCATAACCCCAAAGCAACTCTCATGGCTAAATATGGAATCTAACTCAGTGGGAAAATGCCATGATTCTCTGGAATGTTATTTGAAAGTATTAAATATATCATCCAAGGGAAACTGACACGACAGAGTCAGACTCCCTCTGCCATTTACTTAAACGAGGGAAAAAGCACAATCAGACGTGTGACTTCTGGATATTTTAAAATAGAAATTTGATAGAAAAAATAAAAAGGGGGAGGAAAAAAACGCTGTGAAGACCTAGAAAAGCCAGTGAGAATTAGGGCCACAGGGAGGCTGCAGAGAGAGAAGAGGGGAAAAGCTACAGGGTCAAGAAAGGAGAGAAGGAAAAGATATTCCAAAAATGTCTCTTTCTCACCCCGCTGTTCCTAGGCATTCATGAGCTTATCTGCTGAATGGAATGATTTAACTTAACCTGCAATATATGCCTGAGTAGACTCTTTGATGGCATTTCCTCGTATGATGTGTCAGTTCCCTGGCAATGATTTATCGACACACATACACACACAGAGGCATGCACACCAATACACATTTGTGTTGTCTGCTGGGGACCCAGGCTCGCAAGTAGCAAAATGCACAGTGGTTGTGCCAGAGCAGGGCTGAGTCAGTGGCTTGGGAGGCGAGAAGCCAAGTCAGAGCACAGCCTGGCTGAGACTGAAGGTGGATTGTCCATACTGAATGCTGAGGAAACAGAGAACCAAGGCCAAGGTTTCCTAGTGAGTCATAGGCCCTGGGAACACAGTCAAAGCCACTGGGAGGGAGCTGACTGGGCTGGCAGTGGGGGCCCAGCTGGAGAGCATTTCCGGATTCGGCTGGGGACAGGGGTGTAGCCCAAGGCTGTAAAGGGTTTCCCAAGCCCCTCTGGAGACTCCAGAATTCCCTTAACCTAAAGAGACACAGGTAAACCACTCCCTACCCACTGCCCTCCCCACCCCAGCATAGAACACTCCCTGGCACTGCCAGGGAGATTTCTTTAGGCTGGCAAGTTTCCTCTTCCAAAATGTCCCTGAAACCAAGGTGACTTGGTGGGCAAGATAAGGACCATGTTTGTGAAATACTCATATGTAACTAGTTAAATGTTTATTTAGTTAATTTCTCAACAAATCTACACAAAAATATACCCATGTTGAGAAAAGAAATTCTGGGATGATTAGGAGTGAGGAAACTATCAAATATTTATTTTGTGGTGAAATCCTTTAAGCAGGTTGCTTTCTCTTCCCTTGAGTTGGCGAGCGGGCTGTCGATAACACTGCGAGGTATGACTGTGCCTGGCAGGGGTGCTGGGGGAGAGGAGGCTTTGTCTTCCTGTCTCTGAAGAGGGGCGGACAGCAGCAGCCCAGGGACTCCTGACTCCTGACTGTTCCTCTCTGTTCCTGGAGACACACCCAGTCCCCCAGGGAAGTTGGCAGGCCCAGGGTTAGGCTTGGGTGGCAGATCTAACATTTTCCCAAGATGCCTGGAGTCACACTTTATGGAAACATTCTCCATCAGGCCTCTAAAATGTCGCTTGATGGAAGCTGCAGAGCAGCTCCAGATCACCTCTCGCATGGTGGCCTGACATGCCAGTGAGCAGCCAGTGCCAGCGGGCCTGCGACAGCTGGCCAGGTGCCTCCACTGCCTGGGGGTTGTGGGCTTGGCCGGGACTCACCATATTCTGGAAGTCGCACAAACTCCGAGGGCTCGCTGGGAAGGCTGATTCCCCAGGGGTTACTGGCACTGACTCTGAACTGATAAGGACACCCAGGACTAAGGTCTTCGATGACGAGGTAAGTGTCCAAGGTTGAGGCTACCGACTGCTGCCAGATCTGAGAACCTAGTGACAGTTTCCCGGAAGAGAGAAAGAGAAAATGCATAGGGACATTGTTTCAAAGACCTTCAGCAAACAAAGAAAGGAAAATTGACACATGCAATTTAAGGGACAGTTGTGGGCCAACTGTGGCAGTTTGGGTTCAGTTTCCTAAATGATTGAATAAAGGGTGAGGGGTGTGGAAGAAGTTGGCCCATAGGATTCTGTCCACTTTCAAATGTGCAGGTGTGAGAGTGAGCAGACAGATAACCAGAATTTACAGAGGATATGTGGCAACTTTTTAATAAGGCTGGAAGAATATATTATAAATTTATAACAAAAATGAGAAAAAATATGCATTTGGAAACTGAAACAAAATGAAAATTTACATGTATTGAGCACTATAAACATGTAAAATACTGTGGAAGGTGTCTAGTGTCTTCAACATAATTCTCTCATTTAACTTTTTCACATAAATCCACACAAACCCAACGAGGTAGAGAGCATTAATCCTACTTTACAGATAAAGGAACTGAGCCTTGGAAATATTAAACAATTTGCCCAAGAGAACTTAGTTAATAAGATGAACTATTAACTGAATAGTGATAAAGCGAATATGAGCTTCGTGAAATCTATCTTCCAGCTCAGCATCAACGCCTTTGCGAAGACCTTGGAGACCTAGGAGTGAATGGCTTAACAAAGAGGCAGAAATAAGTAGTTTAATTTTAATTAAACTAGGGCAGGTTTAATAAAAGAGAAAAAGAAAAAAGAGTTAAAATAGTAAGAGTAGCAGAAAGTAGAGTAAAATGAATAATTTTGGTTTGGGGGTGGGGTGAGGTGGCAAGCAATTGCTTTCAATTCAATCATGCGATTCATTATGTGGCTCAGAGATTTGTTATAAGATTTGTTAATAAGCGATCTGGCATCTTCTTATTTTAACTAATTCTTCTTTATAACAAGATAGAAATCTCAGTTATTTCTAACCACAGAATAAATACGTGCACTTTTAGCAAGTAAATATTAAAAAATTTTAAAAGTATAAGTTGTGCAATTTTAAAGTGCACAATTAAAAAATATATATTGTCTCTAAATTTTATCTGGGGGCAGGAGGTATAGAGCTCTCATCAGTTATTTCTCTGGGACAAAGATCACTAATTATTAATAGCAAACTAGAAAGCTGGGTGTTACTGCTGGCTCTGCCTCTTACTAACTACTACCTTGTGTTTCTTTCTTTCTTTCTTTTTTTTTTTTTTTTTAAGAGCTAGGGTCTGGCCCTGTCACCCAGGCTGGAGTGCAGTGGCCCAATCATAGCCCACTGCAGTCTCGAACTCCTGAGCTCAAGCTGTCCTCCCACCTCAGCCTTCTGAGTAGCTGAGACTATGGGCATGATGCCCAGCTAATTTTTAAAACATTTTTTTTAGAGATGGGGTCTTGCTATATTGTCCAGGCTGGTCTCAAACTCCCAGCTTCACGCAATCCTCCCTTCTTGGCCTCCCAAAGTGCTAAGATTACAGGCGTGAGCCACTGTGCCCAGCCAACCTTGTTTTTCTTAAGTTTCTTTAGGCCTTAGCTTACTCATCTGTAAAGTGGGCCTGATCATCCCTATCCGGGTGATTGAGCATGTTAAGTAGAGAAATGCATGTGAAAACACTTTGAAACCTGTCCCAGGTCATAAATATGTCACGAGGGTTTACATCATCTTAGTGAAGACAGCTGCTTGACATCTGAGGTCAGACGGCGGCTGTAGTCTGGCACTGAGACCTCTGTGCTGAGTTGGAAGACACAAGAAGGAACAGCTTCTGTAAGATGAGGAGGCTAATAGGCTTATAACTCTGAAGGAGCTCCTCGGGAGGAAGAAGAAAACAGAAAAACAAGAGCAGGAGGAGCTAGCGCACCTTCCTCTCTGTACTCCACGGTGTAACCAGAAATAGTGCAGTTTCCCGTGCTCGATGGAGGCAGCCAGCGCAGAATCACAGAGGTGCAGCTTCTCTCCTGGGCAATGGGGCGGTTAGGTGCTGCTGGAACACCTACAGAGACGAAAATTAGGATCAAGTGCTATTTCTTCCGAACTCGGCATTTTATACCAAGGTAGATCGTCATCTAGGAAATGTTACCTAACCTATGTCTCAATTTTTTCCTGCATCCTTCTCCACCAAGTGGCATACTTTCTCCAGGCCCAAGGGAGACCTGGAGACATGCCTGTCCGTCTGAAGTTCTTCCTCAGCTAGACACTGCACACTGGAGATCACGCTGGGTCAGGGAACCATGCAGTAGGTTTGTGGGAGGCCACACAGCTCTTAGCAAGATTTGCTCTCTTCACATTTGCTAGAACTTTATTTGGGAAATTTCACAATGGACCTTTTCTTCCCCAGGTCTCAGGGAGCCCATATAGTGTTCGCTTAAAAGGTTCGACTTGTAACACAAGCTCACAGAGATGGAACGTAGAATGGTGGGGGCCAGGGGAGGTGGGAGGGAGGAATGGGGAGTTGGTGTTTAATGGGTACAGGGGGGAGTATCAGTTTGGGAAGATGAAAGTGTTCTGTGACGGATGGTGGTGACGCTAGCACACAAATGTGAATGTACCTAATGCCGCTGAGTTGTGCGCTTAAAAATGGTTAAGATGGTAAATTTCATGTTGTGTGTGTTTTACTACAGCTAAAAAATGTTTTAAAAAAGTATTTTAAAAAGTTTGCCTAACAGACTATACCTTGCACTTTAACTGTAGCAGACGTCGATACGGTCCCGTGGTCGTTTGTGGCAATGCAGGTATAAATCCCGCTGTCTTGGGGCATCAGGTTGCAGATCTTCAGGGTGATTTCCCCAGAATCACTAGAGACACCAGAAGGATGCCCTTCAGACTGGAGTGATGAGACGGCTGGCTGGTGGGTAGAATCCCTTAGGGTTGGCACGTGGCGTGCTGAGCTGAGAGGCTTCAGGCTCGAGGTCTAGTCCCGGTCTGTTATCTCCCTACACACCCTGGGCGATCGCCTCGCCTTTCTATAGTCCCACTTCCCGATACGGGGAAAACATCTGGGCCATGCACATCTCTCAAGTTTGTTGTAAATGAGAGATAGCATAAGGAGTAAAATGATATCAGAATTAGAACATGGTTTAAAATATATAAAGTTCTATACCGATACTGGTCCACAGTATTATTAGTATTATTCTCACTAGTAACCTTGTCCTAGAATATATTCCATCTCACAGATCAATAATGGATGGTGCACAAAAAAAGGAAAGACTAAAGAATGAAAACGTTCAGGTATTTCAAATTCTACATGTGGGACCCTCAAAATAATTAAGTGAATTAAGAAAGGGTAAATTCTTTCACCTAAATGATAACTTCCCCACTCATCCCAGTGTGGGATTCAGGAACATCCCAAGGGGAGAACTGCTCTGAAAGGGTTGAATACAGAAGTCATGGTCGGCCCTGTCCCCGCCCCCCAGGGTTGTGTCCACCCTGCTGCTCCTCACTACCATGGCCTCTCACACTAAGCTCCTTGGACCCACTGGTATTTTATGACCTGGACAGGGAGTCTCTGCTGGGAATACCAAGGAATGATGGTTTTTTTCCACTTCCCATGCACACAAATTAAGTCAAGGGGTGAACGTTTCTTGACTCTAGGTGTTCCTTCCATAAACGTTTCTTAAGCGTTTAGGGTTTGTTACTGCTTGTTCACTGTAAGCAGTAATGCACAATAAAGTTCATAATTAGTAACAATAAATGTTAACAGAATGATTGGGAGGCAGTCAACCAAGTTTTGTTAAACAGTGTTTTTGGGTAGAAGCATGTTTGCAGCTTGATTTCCTATTGCACATTTTGGAAGGAATCATTGTTTTTCTAATAAAACTGTTCTTAGGTAAGGAATTAAATATATCACTGTTTCACAGCAACCTGAGGGCACAAAAAACACCAAGATGTCCAGATTTGGGGACCACATTCCTACAGGTCTGGAGCTTTTGCCACTTCTGACTTAGAGCATTACTTAGGGACCCACAGGGAGATGGCATCTGATAGGGGAATGTAAGGCAGTGATTGTAAAAGCTCTTCAAAAGTATGGCTCATGCTTGACCTAAGATACTATATAAAGGTTTATGTTTTTCTTTATTTGCATGGGTGGGTCCAGAACCCAGTCTTTGCAAAGTGTTCTGTTGTCCCAGGTACGTCTATGTGGTGCCCAGCAACGTGTGAAACTGTTGCTGCCCACCATGAACTTCAGGCTGGTGACATCGGGCTGCAGCGTGAGCCGCTCAGGCTGTGGTTTTTTATTCACTCTCTTTCCTAATCAAGGCTAAGTGTTAGAGCTAGAATAGGCTTCAGGGCTCTTCTCTCGGAAAGACTGTGAGCCAGAACAGAAGCTGCGTCCCAGATTTAGCCTCTCGGTGCTGGGCTAAGGTGCTGCTGGTGTGATGCTGGGCGATCAGCTTACCAAGAGGAGACGGTGTACGTGGCGGAGCTGTTGTCAGTGTCAAGGATGTTCTGGTCTGGACCCTTCCAGGTGATGGTGGGCTTCGGCCGCCCACAGACCTTGCACTGCAGTATCACGGTGTCCCCAAGCAAACAAGTCACATCCACTAAGGGCACAAGGAATTCTGGGGCCACTGTGATCAAATCAACATACATTCATATCACTCAGAACAAATTTAGAAAAAAACAGCCATTTTTTCACACAACACTATCATTCCCCGACCATGTTGTATGATTCCATAACCTTCAGCATAACACTGTTATCTGTGTCCCTTTAATAAGTATTTAAAAATAATAAATATTATAGAAAAATTAGGAAATACGGATAAAAAAAGAAAAAGCTGCATGATGTCATAGTCCACAGATAACAACTGTGACTATTCTGATATTACATATATATCATTTGAGGCTTTATATAAACAGATATCTTACCCAAACTGGATCACATTATACAATTGCAAGTTGTAGTTCCTTTCATCTAACAATTTATCACAGACGTCTATCCTTGTCCATTAGTACAGAACTGTGTTACCACTGTTAAAAGGCTCTACCTGAATGCTGGATTCACTATAATTTATTTAGCCAATCCCCACATTCCCAATTCTACTACTTTTTAACTCACCTTCTTGGATGAAATTTGGATTTAAAATCTGAAAAACACAAAGAAAGAGAAAATTGCTTGAATTCTAAACTACTAAATGAGAACAAGAAACTTGTACACTATTGAGTAAAAATGAAGTACAACTTAGGGAGGGGAGACCTGGAGCCCCACCTCGAGATTTGTCGTGACTGTGTTGCCATCGCAGTGACAGAACCCCTCTTTATCAACGAAGGGCACTTGGTTGACTTCTGTCTAATCTGATTGTTCGTGTTCGCGCCTGGCAGTGAGCAGCGCCGGGCAGGTTCATTGTGACTCAGACGTCTGCTAGCACAGATGCCCTCGCTGTCCTTCTTCCCCTTAGTTTCTCTTCCTTCCTTCACATGCAAAAATCCCTCCTGTTCAATATGCACTCAAGCAATGCGATGCTATGATTCTTCCCAGTGTCCTGAAGTTTCAAAAGCAGAGCACCTGAGACCTATCAAACTGGAAGTGTCTTTGACTTTAACTAACCTGGTGGTTTCCTTCCAAATGTCCTCCCTCCACTCTTTCCCCCACCCCCAAGCAAGGGAAACTTCTTTTTAAGAAGGTAAATGCAGAACCTTTTCTTTGGTTGAAGGGGAAAAAAAGAAGTCCTGTCTATCCTGTCCCCAGCATGACCTCCTATCCTGCATAGGACAACTTGAAAACCACTGACCGTCTTAACCATTCTAACACTTTTGCTTCATACATGAGAAAACAGAGAATAAGTGATTAAGTGACCAAGCTGACTAAGTCCCAGTCACAAGGCTGGTTCCGGGGAGGAGCTGCTAGGGCTATTTGTGTATACCATGCTGCATGCTTTGGGACACCCTAGATATTTCACAGCAGGGAAAACATCTAGCTGACTAGCCATTCTGGAAATTTACCCCTTCTTGAAAGGATGGTCACTTTGACTTTTTTCTCCATCTTTTGTATTACCTCTAATCATGCAAGTCCAGGTCATAAAGCCAGACATTGTAAAAGAGCATGGACTTTGGAGTCAGAGAGGCTGAGGTCATCTGTTGTGTTTAATGTGACTGTGTGCTAATTACTTCAAATTGATTAGCATCAATTTTCTCCACTACAAAATGGTGACAAATAATATCTAGTGCAGAGTGTTATCATAAAGATTAAATGAAATCATGTAAGTCAAGCACCTAGCACAATGCTTGACAAATAACAAGTACTTAATACCTATTTAAATAAAGATTATCTAATTCTAATCATCTTCCTTTTGCTAAGCAGCCTATTATTAAAGTGGCTTATCTCCGATAGTTTATTTGGTAAAACTCTTCTGTCCATTATAGCGAAGCCAGAAAACTCATGTGCCTTCCAAAATTGCCCAGTTGGGGCCTTCACGCTAATTTCCCGGCATTTATCCATGTCTTATGTGAACATGCGTGATTTCTGTGTGTTCTTCCCTTAGAGGGGTCCTATATGAGCCCTTTGGAACAAAGATGTTATTTCCTTCTTTGGGTTCCCCTTTGCAAACCAATTGCGCACTTAC